ACACAAAAACTGCACATACAATCTCAGGCCCAGACGAGCGGACAGCATCACCACAAATAGAACATCCTTTTATAAGAGCTTCTTCCCTGCCACAGTGAGACTCTTGGCCAAAACAAAATGAACTACTGTCTCCAGGGCCTGTGCAATATACCTGTGCAATTTATTTATAATGCAACTTTACACTATATCATATTATTTTATATTATGTTGTCTCCGGGGCCTGTGCAATATGCAATATACATGTGCAATTCACAATGCAAATTTATACTTTTAACAGGTTTTGTGCAATTTATAATGTATATGTTTTATAGATAGATTTATGTCTTCCTTGTGTGTCTTTCTAAACTTGACTTGACTCTCTGAGCAACAACCGCACAAGAGTTCCCATATGTGCAAGCACAAATGGCAAATAAAGTTCTTGAATCTTGAATTTGAATCTTGAATCTGGTGTCCCTTATAGCACACAGCTTCAGTTTATTCACAGTAATTATCCCAGTTATTATTTATCTATGTTGATATGTGGTGTGTGTACTCCATAATGAATGTGGAGCAAACGGAGCATCAGTGTGGACCTTTACGCTCTCTGGGTTTCAGACAGGTGGAGTCCGGCAGCAGGTGACAACAGCCGACGCTTTGTCCTTCCCACGATGTGCAGAGCTCCATCACTCCGGCTGTTGTTTTCCTCCTCCTCCTCCTCCTCCCTCCTCCTCCTCCTCCTCCTCAGCAGCCCTGTCGTTCTGCTCTTCCTGCTGTCTGACAGGAGAGAGAGACTGAGTCACACGTCTGTCACTCTGTCTTCCTCTCTCAGTCCGTCACCAGAGCCCAGAATCCAGTTTGAGTCAGGATGCAGTATGTAGCAGGTATACACCGCTTGCAGCAGTTGTTTCCTCTCACGCATTAACTCATCAGGAACAGTCTGACACTTATTGATGGGATTCACCGGGAACTTCGATGAGTTAACAGTAACAGCAGAGAACAGCTGATAAACTGAACAATGAACCCAAACAGGGAACACAGGAACTGCAGGAAGAGATGAGTTTTCCTGATATTTTAGGAACTTTCTCTGTCTGTATTACGTTTTTGTATCATTTTTAACAATCACACGTTTAATATGCTTCTTTTTTTGACAAATTCAGTGTTTTCTTCTCATTGTTGTCATTGTTCTATCAGCTCTTTGGTTGTTTTCTAACGCAGGACGAGGCTGTTTATCAGAGAGTGAAGCTCTGTGAATACAGACTGTGTTCAGTTCTTCAGAGTTTAGATCTTAAAGAATAATTAAAACTATATAAAAAATAACTTTATTTAGTTTTCTCCACAGAAATGAACAAAATGCTGAGATATTGCCCAATTATGTATATTTTATGGAGAAATTAGTCGACTTCTCAGTTGATTTATGAGCTCAGTAAACAGTTTCCTGATTAGTTTCTGGTCTCAGTCTCTAGTTTCAGTCTTCTTCCATACAGCATGAAGTTCATTTAGTAACTGATGGTCCCATTTAGAATAAAACAGACCATAAAGCAGGTTGCTATGCTTTAGGGCGGGGCTACCTTGTGATTGACAGCTCATTCTCATTGAGTCCGTTCAGCTGAATAAGACCAAAAGTACACTAAAAACCTGAAAAATGTCTTTCCTCAAATCTGTCCACAAACAGATTTTACTGTTTATCTGGAATACCAGATAGGTGTGCAGTATTCTCAAGACCAGATCCAGCTCACTGGAGGGTTTTTTCCCCCCACCGTTACCTGGAAAGGAAGAACGTTGCCTGTGATGTAGACCAAGTCCTCTGGCCTGACCCTGCACCAAGACTTTATGCAGAGGCAGAACTCGTCGGTAACTTGCAGTAAACAATATGTTCGGTACTTAGTTGTGAATAATTTCTGTAGCACCACGCCCTGAACCTGGCTCTGTGTGTGTGTGTGTGTGTGTGTGTGTGTGTGTGTGTGTGTGTGTGTGTGTGTGTGTGTGTGTGTATGTGCCAGAGGAGGTTTTGTGAACGTAGACTGAAGATTTGGGTTTGTATTTGGAGAAAAGAGAGAAAGGTTTCAAGGAATGTGGAAAAACTGTAATAATGTAAAGTCTTCATTTAGTAATCAGACAGACACCCTGATGCTATCTGCCGGAGTACATTCAGTACTTTCTCAAATTTTCAGGCAGATTGAAGAAACACCAGACTCTTCATCAGTGTAGAGTCTGAACTGAACTCTGTTAAAGTCGCCCTCATTCTGGGAGAGATAATTACGCTCCTGATTCACACACACACACACACACACACACACACACACACACACACACACACACACACATTCAACAAGTGATCAGATGTAAATCGCTGCCACTCATCTCCGGCCGAGCCGACAGATCACTGCTGACTTTATCACATCACCCAGATCTGACAGTCTCCTCCCCACTGCTGGTGTTTCACACCCGCAGCAGGAGAGCTGCTGTTTTCCTCCCAGATGATAATTACCGGACTGTCAGACGAGACAGAACTCCTCCGGCTGAGCGTCAGTAGGACCCCAGCAGGAACTAATGATTGCTGTTAAAACCCAAAGAGAACAAACGGTGTGTGTTTGTCTACAGATATAGAAATACTGATAAATGTACTGCAGGCAGAAACCCTTCAGGTAGCATTCATGAGGCGGGATTAAAGTTGTTTTTCTGACGCAAGAAATGATGTAAATCAGAACAACAACAGTGCAGGTGAGTACGGAGAGCAGGAGGGGACAAAATTGAGGTTTAACCAAAAAAAACTACAGAAGCCTGTTGCATTCATTTGAAAAAAAAAAAAAAAACAATTCACCTGTTTTTCTGAGATAAGATGTTCCTGATTGATCCCCCTTAAAGAGGAATCCTAGCACAGCAGCACATGTGATCTCTATTAATGGCTGTATGTATGTAGCTGTGACATATCTGTACCACGGGTCCCGAACCTTTTCACTTCATTTAGTAAACTAAACTTTAGAGACATATTTTATGGATATTTCATATTGTATTCAACACAAGAACTGCAAGAAGTTACATTTTGAGTAGATTATTTCCTGTTTAAGAAGCTTTTTATACAATGTTCTCTCTGTTTCACATATTTTGTTTATCATTTTTAACAATCACAAAAACTTAATATGCTTCTTTTTTGATAAATTCAGTGTTTTATTGTCCCTGGAAGTTGGCCATTGGTATTCTTTCAAGAAGACCTTGCGACCCCCTCATGGATCTTTGGCGACCCCTAGTAGGAGTCCCGACCCCCAGGTTGGTTCCCTGTTGATCTACAGCATTTCCAAATTAGACTTGATGTCTAGTCTGCTGCTAGTGGAGAAAACACTTCTTTCTGACATGACAGCGAAAATGAAAAATTAGCTTTTCTCCTTTCAGCTTTGCGTTTACGACATTTGGTCATTTTAATTAATTTCCCAGTGTTTCCATCACTGAAAACTAGTCTCTAAATGTCAAGGTTTTCCAGACTTTCCAGGACACATGAATGAATTCAGAAAAACAGAGCCACATCTTTTTTCAAGTGAATGCAACACGCGTCCATTAGGAAGTATCTGGTTTATGTTTGTTTAATAATAAATAAATCAATGAAGAGTTTGAACACTAAAGAACAGGAAGTCTTTCTGTAAAGGGTTTCCACTACATGTATTATTTATATTATATAACGGGCTATATGAGATATATGTGACCTGAAGGCACAATAAGGAGAATCTTTCACTAGCTAATAAAACATATATGGATTTTGTCTTGTTTTTATATTCACTGTACATTATCCTCTGTATATTGGATATTGGAAATCAATAAAAGAGGATAAAGAATGTAAAACAAGTTTGAAAAGAACTGGTTTGAGATGGGGGGGTTGACGGATACGTCTGGGGTTGTTATATATTTCTCAAACCTCTGACTTTATCCACTAACGATACTGTGTGAGTATCAAACCCTGATATATCCTCTTCCTCTCTGCCACAGAGCTTCATTGTTGTTACACTGTAGTTTATTCATACACCCTCCTGCTGTCCTGGACACTCACTATTAATCCGCCGCTGAAAGTAGTCCCGAACAAATGTACTATTTCTTCCTGTTAGTGAGCAGCTTTTTACGTCTTCAGTAGGAACCAACGGGCTTTGAGCTGAGAGCTACTGACAGGAAGTCATTGAGAGACGGACTAACACAGTGGTAGTTTTGGTGTTTTCATGAAATGTATTCACAGACTTATTCTTCAAACTCTAGACTTGGGAATAGTTTTATATGAGGTTGAAACTCAGGACAAAGAAGTAAGACGACATTGTTTTATTGATTGATTGGTTATTTCTTCAGAACGACACTGAAGGATTTTCTCAATGGAAAAGACGTTTTCTCTCTTCCCCCGACAGTTCATTGATCTGACTGGTTGAAGTTCGCCCGTGATAGACGATGATAGACAGAAGATTCGCCCAATCACCTGCTGTAGAAACATGGCGGACACCACGGAAGGCGACCCGCAGCGTCTGTAGATAAACATAAACGTACCTAAAGAAAACATACCGATGAATATTATATTCCATTTGTGCCAGTAGATCCTCCTCAGTGCTACACACTGGACCTTTAAACACTTCCGTGAACAAACATAATGTTTTTCTTTTTGACCAGTGAGTTTGTGAACTCATCCAGTACATTTGTCTAATTAAGCCGAGGTTCAGAGGTTTACCTCAAACTTTCACTCTGTTCCCCCAGCTGCAGTAAAAAGATAAAAATCACCACCAAGTGATTAATGAGGTTTTTAAAATCGACCGCAGCTAAACGCAGCGCTCTCCCACTCATCACTCACTGAATAATTACACAGCTGCTGTGACTCCTCGTGGCTTTGTTTGTGTTTGCAGCTCAACGGCGAGCTTTAATCGCACTAAACTGTGACTTGACATCAGAGAACTGAATGAAATGACATCAGTTCCCATCAGTCTGTCATCACTGCAAACACTGCTGCTGCATACCAACGGGGCAGGAGGCGCGTTCGTCAGATCACAACACGAGAACAGCTTTGGTTCGGCTTTAATTGAACACATCGTCAGTCACAGCATGAGTCCAGGTGACTAATATGCTAATTAACTGTTTGCCATATTCGATAATTTGTTAGTAATTGATAAAATACAACATACAGACTGTTACCATGGAAAACAACATGAATACCATCTGAAATTATACCTGACTACAGTGATGGGATAGAATTAACCAGGACATCAACATCACATAACACATATAATATATATAATTATAATTATATATATAAAAAAAATCAGGCTGGGAAATACAATAATAAACAGTTTATAGCAGATTTTTATAGAAATTACATCCATATTTTAATTATGGAGCAAGCTAGTATTATGTAAAAGTTCAACAATAAAACTCATTTGCAACAACGACCCGCGGCAGCTGGAGATATCAAATATTCATTCCCCAATACATTTTAGATCTCTTGCTTCACTAATCAATAATATCATATTTATATATATATATATATATATATATATAAATAAAATGATGTGAAAATAGTCACCTGACTACAGTTCCCCTCAGCTCAGCTTTTGGTTTTCCGGCCCACAACTTCACTGCTGCAGCGTACTTTGGTTCATTAACATATATCATTATAACACACATTCAGAACATAATATAACTTTGAATGAAGTCACGATAATACACGAGGTAAAATTAACATTTTTGTCTTTGGAGTCTGGTGGCGAGAGATGGCGATATTACCTAACGTCACATCGCAGCTATTTTCGCCTAAAGGACGAGCACAGGTGATTGGTTGAGTTTTATTTTGTTTCGGTCCAGTTTGAAGTGAGTTGTAAGATTATCTGAGTGGTCAGCAGCAGCGCCTGTTCTGAGATGCTGGTGTTCTAGTGTCAGTGAGTTTTATATACAATAACCTCGAATAAACCCAGCTGTGATGCACATGTACTGAAACCTGTACATTACCTGCTCAGCAGCAGACAGACACAGTGAGAGCCTGGCTGGTGAACAGCATTCAGCAGCCAGAGACAGATGTTGGTAGAGACAAAACCAGAGCTGGCTTTCAGGATGGAAACCTCGCCAAGGTTTTCCACTTAAAGATCCATTTCATTACAGATTTTTCTGGCTGGAGATGGATTTTGTGTCTTATTGACGTCCCTGAAAGGATTCCAAAGTCAAGTGGATGGATGGATAAAGAGTAAAAGACAGAACTCTAAACAGATGAACGGACAGCGATAAGCAGCAGAAGTGTCTCTGTCCGTGATGATCTGCTTTGGCCCATCGTCCAGAGGGAGTGTTTTGAGTGAGGAGTGAACATCAGTCCTGGTGTTTGCCACAGACCCATCTGAGCTGAGGCTGGTCCCTGAGGTCTGTCGGCTCTGACGTGGAGAACCAGCTGCACTGGCAGGCGTACGCCCGTAAACCTCTCCTCTTCTTCAGCTTGGCTCTGAGCTTCTGACGGTCCGGCACGTTGTTCCTACGCAGAAAAACACACATAGTTCTCACATCAATTTAACATTAACTCACTCCAGACAGAGCCTTTCATGTTCTTCACCAGTTTCACTTCACTGCTGGATGCCACTAAATCCTACAGACTGGTCCTTTAATCTACAGCTCTCAGTAAACAGAGAAATAGTTTCATCTGTGAAATGTCAGAAAGTTGTGAAAAATGTTTCACGGTGACGTCTTGATTTGTCCAAAACCCAGAAGGGGATGAAGGCTCCTGACTTTGATGATTCATGTGATCCTCTGACTCTTCATCAAGGCAACATTTCAAGAAGGGTTGGGCTTTAATCTATTACTTGTTACTTTTTGAAAGTAATATTATTACTTTAGGTATTACTCCCTGCCAACAGTAATTAGTTACACTATCACTTCTATTACTTTTCTGCTCCTCCCCACCAAATTGCTAACTGCGACCTCTTTCACTCCCAAAAATATGTTTAGTTTGTTAAAAGCAACAAAAGTAATGTTGTAACTAGTTATATTTTGAGGGGTAACTGTAATATTATTAATCAAATGTATTAGTAATTAGTTACACTACTAGTTACTGGGGAAAGTAATATTATTACTAGTAGCACCTTTTTGCCCAACACTGACTTCAATATCCATCAGCCTCATCTGTACTTTGTGCTTAGTGCTAATTAGCAAATATTATATAAAAATTATAATATATCTCTGTAGACTCTGATTACTGATCATTGTTGGCTTGGAATCAAATTTAAATGTAATTAAAATAAATAAAAAATAAAACAAGTTGGGAATAACTGAAGTGAAAAACATAATAGTGTAAAATGTTCAATTATTATTATTATTATGTCATCAGAATCTGATTCCAGTAAAAGTTTTATTTCTGAGTTCTGGATTCATCCACAGAAATCATATTCATCTGCAGTAAATTAAAAAGAAGTGTGCCAGTGCACGGCAAATGAGCGAGCACATTAAGAGTCAAAAATGAAGCTCAAGTGCACTTAACATTTACTGAGGTCCTCCTGGTTTTGTGCTGTTTGAGAGTTGTGCAGCTGCTAAGTCACTTCATACTTTTATAATTAAAAAGGTTTGTTTTTTTTAAAAAAAAGAGCTCCTTTCTTGTGCATTTTAATTCAAGTCATCACGTCTACATCAACAATTATAAGAGCAATTATAAATTCACATACTTCATTTATAATTGCTTTTATGCTACCACTATTCATACTCACTTATGATATTAAATTAAGCCCCTTAATTAAAATATAACATTAATTAGTAAAACAGATGTGTGGGTAGCTTCAGTAATGGATTCAGATGCTAAAACGACCTCCCAAACAAACAGGAAACAGAGGAAGAAGGTGACGGGGGGGAATATAAAACATCATATTCTCTAATTTACAAAACTTCTAAATCTATTAATGAGAGAAAAATAATCAAACCTAATCAGTTAACATAGGTCACATGATATTGTATTAAATAGCAGCAACCTTCAGTTGAATATGTTAGAATAGATTTACTTTATCATTAAAGAGACAAACTGCAAACATTAAAATAACATTTATATCAAGAGTAAAGCTCTTAAAGCTCGCTGGTTCTGATTGGCACCAGGGAAACGCACATCTCACCCATCTCCCTCTCTCTCTCCCTCCCCCCGTCCCCCTCCCTCCTCTCCCTCTCTCTCTCTCTCTCTCTCTCTCTCTCACACTCACTCATAAAAATGGTTTTCGCCTGTTCCAGCTGGAGATGCTCTGCTGTTGGGGGACTGAAGCTTTTTGGATGATAACACCGACGTGAAGGACACACTCGCCACTCTGAGTGTTCCTGAGTGCTCTGAACTTAACAAAATAACCCTAAAAGTAAATTGCACACTTGGAGGAAAAACCACTGAAATAAGTTTGTTTTATGTCGGAGCTGACGGGGTTTTTGTAAAAGACAGTTACAGGTTGCTTTACAGGTTGCTTTACAATCTTTGTCTTTTGGTGTTTACATTTTTGTGATCCAATGATCCACTTTCTCAAACGGTCATATTACACCTCGTGGCCACTGGATCCAGCTGTGTTAGGTTCTGGTGGTGGTACGGCTCGGTGATTTTATAAAATGAGCTCTTTTTGACGTGGTAACTTTAAGATGACTACCTTTAGTCGGCTCTAACTTTAAAAAGGGGAACTTTACACATCAGTGCCTGTTTACATGTGTTGGGGAATACGTCCGTTTATGTTTTAATCAGTTTTTAGTTTTAGTTTTTGGGCTTTATTGCTGAAAACCTCATTGAATGATTTGATTTTAAAGGGTTAAGTTAATTACCTGTGACAGAAACAGCCTACAGTCATCAGAAAAGGAAGCGTAGGAGTTTGGTGGAAAGGATTACCACAACCTTGACTGAAATCTTTCAACCTAAACATTTTAATAATATTTGGATTATTATTATTGGCATATGTAGCTCTACCAGTATGACATTTGACAATGCATCTGTGTTTTATAACAGAGTGGAATATAAGACACCAACCTACACTGTGTATAAAAACTGCCTACTGTTTGACCCATTGGATGTGACATGCGGACAAGAAGGTTAGGCACGTTCCTCAGTGTATAACAGCAGTGCTCACATTGTACAGTATCCCAATATATCACAGTATATTAAATGGTAACACCTGTATCGTGATACGCATCGTAACGGCAGATTCCTGCCAATACAGAGCCCTATAAACACACACCAGTCTGTGTTATCTTATAGCTAGATTGGTGGAGTTAAAGCTTTTGAATGTCGATACAGCCGATCGCACCGTATAGATCTTGTGTCATTAACCTGTATTTATTTTATTGTGTCAGACGACCGGATCCTAAAATGATCTGAAGAGCACAGCAGCACAGTCCTATAAACAGGCTTAGCTTGCGATGAGATAGGGTTGGCTGTACAGACAGTGGAGCGGAGAGAAGAGCTGTGAGAGCGACACTCCGGTTAGACAGGCTCATCAGAAACCAGTGCACGGTCCCACAGCCAGCCAACACCACCCAACAGCTCACAACAACCATCTGCCAATGAAAAAGTTCAGTTCCTGCAGGACAGACATCACCTGAGCTCTTTTATCTCTGACCTCGGCTTATTAAAGCCACTCTGTGGGTCCGCTGAGTGAATGGAGCCAGTGTGCCACACTAAGGATATAATGATGTCTAATCTACAGTCAGAGAACTGACAGCAGCTTTGGACCTCATTTACTTTTTACATTACATTGTTCAAATTAAAATGAGGATGAAACCTTTAAATGAGAGAAATGAATTGTCAGATGGGACATAACGGGTAGAGAGAGAGAGAGAGAGAGAGAGAGAGAGAGAGAGAGGACGGACTGACAGAAAGTCAAATTTTAAATCCTTTTTTTAAAAAGCATATTGCCAGTCCTCATTTAAAGCTACATTCATTCATGTTTTTTGACCACTTGGGGCAGAGAAACAGCCCGAAAACATTGGCACATTCACGGATCATTTCATTACTCTTTTACCGATACAAGTCGGAAATCGGAGATGTGACTACATCGGCCCTCAGACCCCTGGATGGATCCAAACGTACCATGAACCGGTCGATGGTCCGACTGTAACCTTATGAATCTGTTGAGAGAAGATTTGCTGCTAACACTACTCTACTCTCGCCTCAGTCTCACCTCAAGAGCGACGAGAGTAACGTGAGCGCAGTGTGGAGATTTACAGCGCACCGTCACATCTAAAATCTGAAGTTTGGAAGACATTATTTTATAATGTGTGGATCTAACTGTCTGTGAATGCTAACACAGCTAGCACAAGCAAGAACACGCAAGATATTAAACACTTTCCAGACACAACTGAGCTCCAACTGAGCGAGGTCGAAGGTCAGCACTGCAGGAAGTCTTTCTGTCTGAGTCTGCTGGAAAAGCAACAAACAACAAAGACATGTAATTCTGAAAAGAGACATTTGTCTTCAGTTTTTTTCCATAAACAAACATAAATAAAATATACTGTATGTATTTCGAAGGTGTCACTTTTAAAGAATTGACTTGTTTTAATTTAGAATGGAAAATAAATGTCTACATTAAACTAATATTAAGAACTTTATCAGATTGCATCCAATCAAATCTATCCGTATTAAAATGCATCGTCTCTGAATCGTATCGTAGCTCATGTATGCTGCACACCCCTATCTTTTACAAATAGTTCTTAATTGCATCATTTGAATGCAATGAATCCATCTTCGTTATTATCTTTATTAATAAAGGCTTGAACATGTATTTAGGTTATTCCAGAGACATACCAAACTCCAGTGAACCTCAGAGCTTTCTGTCACTGTCACATGGTAGAGTATCAGCAGACGTGGATAAAAGATTCACTCCTCGTGTTCGGTCAAACTCTCGTCCCGCCCGCCCACACACACACACACACACACACACACACACACACACACACACACACACACACACACACACACACACACACACACACCACACACACACACACACACACACACACACACACACACACACACACCTCCATCAACCATTCTTTGTTTCCCTACGGTGGCCTGTCAGCTGCCGTTACTGTAACCAACGACACTGTGTCACCAGGAATTAGTCTTTGACCCTCCTGCTGCTGCACATGAGCACAAAATGAAACCACTGTCGCTGTAATTTTAATATGAAAGTCATTACGTCACCTGTGTGGGGTCAACACGTGATCTCTGGATTGGTTTTGTACTGTGCTATTAATTCAACCTAATTCCTAACATTTACTTCATTGTAAAGCTGGATATTGAACCGTTTTTATACAGTTTTTTAGTCCTGACTTAAAGTTGAATAATTCGGGTATTATGTTATATATATGCTATAAACATTTACGTTGTGGTTGTCTGCCAGAAGCTGTCATACATTGACTGTTGATCCAGTCTGAAGCCACATTGTTACCATCCACTGTTTAGATCTTGGTGCTTTTTAACTCTAGATTTGAACCGGATGAAGGATTTTAGTCATCGGACGTCTGGATCTTAAGTTATCAGAGAAACAAGCTGAGCTAACGTTAGCAGCAGCTCGGCTCGCAGCCCCTCCGGGACGTCCTTTGTCTGTCCAACAGCGTGGGAGAAGCAGTGATTGTTAAGGTGGAACTGCTTTATTCAGTGTGTTTAAGGTGGAACTGCTTTATTCAGTGTGTTTAGTGGTTTTAATCAGCGGGTCTGTTTGTGTTGGAGAGGAGGAGACCTCTGTGGATCATTGGGCTCCCGGTAGAAACCTCCTGAACCATGAACACTGAAGGAATCCTAACCGGGAGAAGCTGACTGCAATGACGCCAATGGTGGTGAAGACAACAACTCCCATGATCTTTTGAAGTGACAGACATATTGTACCTTTAATGGCTCACAGAAGGTATGATTTTATCACTTTTGTGAATCAAGTGGTTTAATTTAATTGAAAAATTCAACTGATTAAAAACCTTTTTATAGAAGTAAAAAGATAAATCGGTACCACTGATTACTCTAACACACCACTGACTCAGCTATTATCCACTTCATTAAAGCGTTTCCGTTTGTTTTCTCAACCTCTGCAGAGGACCTGCCTCATGTTTTATTTCAATGTTTTATATAAACACAAAAGGTGTGAGCAGAAATAAACATCATAGCTTAACAGACAAAGAGGGAAACCTCTCATCCACAGGAGGACGCTACACTCCGGCCCACACTGTTTGACTGACAGGTGGTGTTTGCTTACCATACAGCAGGAACACAACGGGGACGAGTGCTGAGCAAATAAACTCAATATTTATATTCAGACAGGTCGGCTGTAGTAGTGCCATGCAGCTCAATGTTTGAATTTAAAACCAAACAAAATGATACTCCGTCTCCTCACTTTCTGAGGATGTCATAATCTCCCTCCGTCACCAGTACACGTCAATAAATCTGCTTACATGCTCCTTATATCTCCAGCATGTGCCTCACGGATTCCTAACTAGCAGCTGAATCGCTCTGCATTAGCCTGAAGAGAAAGCCTTCACTCGTTCACTTTAACAATGCCTCTGCTCGTTTTCATTCTAGTCACACCGCTCTGCAGATGTACAATTGTTCAAACTGGTGTAAAATAAACAGCTCATGGTTTGTTGACAAAAAAAACAACAACCAAAGTATGAAAAAAAAAAAGTCTTTTCTCATTTAATGTACATTTGAAATGGCTTAATAAAGATATTTTCACCACATAATCTAAATAGTGCATTGTAAATACATTATCTCAAACCTCCTCACTTGTTTTAGATGCAGTGTTTCAGTGGATGAAAAGAAGACATGACAGTGGTAGGTCACAGCTCAACACTGCCACCTTCTGATTAAACTGAAAAACATCCCCCAAAACCAAACAGCCTCTGACCCTCCTCTCACACCCTGACTGTACATTAATGAACATCGCAGCAAGAACATGAAAGTCTTGATATGTTTGATTTATTACTATGTTTTAGTTGAAGTACTGACCTAGAGAGGTTTTTGTAAAAACACTTTTTTACCTTGTTTTAAGCATAAAGGGAACTATAACTAAATTTCATTCTACAACCTTGCATTGTAAATGACAATAAAATAAATAATAAATCCTTGAAATGGAGAAATAAAGAAGGGAACGTGGTTTTATTTTTAGTGTTAATCTGCAGATCGGGTCCCCTGAAGGGCTCATGATACAAATGTAAGGGGTTGTGAGATCAGACTTTTTCAGACTTTCCTCCAATCTTTGCTTCTTTTTTTTTCTTGTAATTTACAAGATATTTTTACTTCTTCAGTTACAAAACATGGAGAAAAAAATATGGTAAAAACCCGCAACATTCCTTAATTTTAAGGTGTCATATGCAAAAAGCTTAGGAACTACTGGCAACACAGTCGCTGCAAAATAAGTGAAGAAAATATATAAAAAGTAAATTATTATGACCTGATGAAGCTTCATTATGTTAGAAAGTGGCGGGAGAATAAGTCTACTGTGTGTAATGTGTATTTTTACTCACCTGAGGAACAGGTAATCACAGGACGAGTCCCACTCGCAGTCATCGAACATCAGCACCCGGAAGTCACAGGAAGTACATCTCAACTGGTCACATGACCTGTTCGATACGGCGATTATTATTAACAGAAATGTATTTTAAAATTTCTAGTAAAGTTATTTACATCTTAGCAATTATTCATCAGTATGGTGATAACACATTAAAAGTGCGACCTTGCTGTAATTCATTTAAACCTGCACTAGGCAAAGCTTCTCGGGGGGGTGGCGAGGCAATCTTGATTTTTAAGAGGTGCTAGAAAACTTTGAAATATACACAGTAGGTTGGTATCTCAGCATTTGGTTCACTTCTGTGAAAAAATGTAAAGTAATTTGTCTAATAGAACAATGGCCAAGTGTCAGAGAGCAGTAAACACTTAATTGGTAAAAAAAAAAACTAGCATATTCAGGATGTGTGATCATTAAAATTGATTAAAAAAATACATAATACATATTTAGCAGGAAATAATCTGCTCAAAATTAATCTAAATCACACTTTTAAATACGTTTTGAATATAATATGAAATATCCATAATATATATGTCACTTAAGCAGGAGAAAAAGGTTGGGAACCGCTGATAAAAGTATAGAATTTGATGCCTCTGAGTCTCTGAAAAATAATCCGTAACAGAATCCCGTATCGTAATAAACCAAAGACAACCAGACATGACAGACGGCTCGCAGTATGAAATTATTTCTTCACACCTCTTGGATGTGGCCGTTCCAACACCATTTGTGACAGAGCTCCCGCCAACGAAAACAGGACAGCACCTGGACGCATAACACACAGTTCAAGAGGTTTAAAACAGCCAACAGAACGATACGAATAATACTTTTCATAGCAGGAGCTGGGGAATATTATACACACATATTTCAGAGAGGATCTACAGTGTGACTCACCATCATCAGTCAACTCAAAACACTACCAGAAGAAAAGTTCCTGACTCTCCTTTAGATGTAAAAATACAAAATATTTGGCTGATATTTGAGCATTTCTCCCTCTGCTTATATCCTGTAATTATTATTATTCCCGCCTTGTGTGTGTTTTTTAGTTACTTACTTTCTCCCTCCAGACTGAGACGACAGCTTCTTCTCCACCTGTGTTCCTTTAGGAGACTGCTCAGTCTGGAGTGAAAGGTAAAAGAGGAGAGCACAGACTGTGAACACACCTGACTTACAGCCTCTGGTGTGTGTAGACTATTATAGCCAACTACAATATTCATATGGATTTAGTCACAGGTACAGACTTGGAGATGAAGCAGCTGCATGATAACAATCAGGAATAGACGGATTATCGGATCCAATATTCACCATTTCTCAATGTCCCGTCCTAATTGGTTACACCTCACGAGTAATAGTAGAGTAAGATAACGTTGAAAGGTTTTCTTTTGCAGCATTTAATTAACCGAGTGCAACAGAGTATTAGGGCCATACTAAGTACATACTACGAGAATTAAGTCATAATGTTACGAGAATAAAGTCGTAATATTACCAGAATAAAGTACAAAAGAAGCAATTTCTCCGTGTGGTTCTTCCTTCGAAATAGAAACAGTCGTTTGCACAATCGTTTCAAAGTCCTGGTACTGGTAATAATTTGATGCTGATGAGCCAAAAGATGAAGTATTTCCTTATTTGTGAAACCGATATCAAAGTATAACTTCACAAGATGCTCAACATTCCTCATTTTAACACAGCGGGAAGATAAAATTACTACTTTATTCTCCTAATGTTTTGACTTTGTTCTCGTAATTTCCCAAAAAATAAATATTTTTTTCTCTTAGTCTGACTCAATTTTTCACTTCAGTAAAAGCAGCTTTACCACAGTGTAAAAATACTCAATTATCAAAATCTTACTTAAGTACAAAAGTTTTAGCATCAAAATATACCAAAAGTACAGAATAATAAACATTATATTGCTGTATGCTGGATTATTGATGCATTAATGTGTCGCTTTAATGTTGCAGAGGGTACGTGGAGCTCATTCTGTTATACTGCTGATTTAATCTATAATTATACATTATTATTCATTAGTTGGTTTATATTTTGTATCAATAATGTGAATCTAGTAAGAGTAGAAGCATAAAGTTGTATTGATGCACAGCACTTGTGTTGAAATGTTGGGTTAGGGTTATGAATGTTGTGTTTTTTAAGCCCATTACATTGACTTTGGGAAGAGGAAGACTGCATGAAGGGGTTTTAAAATACTTTAAAACATCAGCTTTACGTTTTAAGAGCAAAATGACCCTCGATGTGTTTGTTAGAGCTCAAGGATGCAAACGAGGAAACTCCACAGTGAACCTGTAATGAATGAACGCTGCACTGTGTGAGTTCAAACCAGTCAACAGTAAAAAATATATGATCCATATTATTCATGTTTTTTTTAAACACTTTAACACTCAGGGAAGGAGGAAAACGTCAAAGGGACGCCTTCATACACACCCCAACTTGTCCATTTGTGGTTGACAAGTTGTCACATCCTTCTGGAAAAGAGAGAAACTGGAAAAGGTGACAGCAGCGTTCATGTTCTTCACCTTTATTTGAGGGGAATCACTGTAGTCTTCCTCCAGTAACTCCTCCAGAAAGGCGTCGATGTCCTCAGTGACGCTGCTCACCGACTCTTCAGGTTTGGTGGCACTAAATGAGAGGAAACAGTTCAGAGTTATTGATTACTTATACATCGATTAATGCATCTGAGAGTAAACTTAGGGGCGGTTTACGTTCATCTATTTAAACTTTTAGACATCCTGGATATTTTATAGGCTGAATATTTGCTTTTAGTTGAATAAATCAATGAAGGATTCAGTATTTTTGACCAAGAGCTCGATTAGTAGTAAAATATAAAAGTCTTAATATAATTAGCCCTGGAAACAAACCCTACACAGAACATCCTCACTGTTAGCCACGTTAGCTCTCCGCGTTAGCGTTGTTTACCTCCCGCGTTTGCCCGCCTCGTTCGAGTCCCCGCGATCTGAGGAGGCGACAGAGACGTTGCTGCAAAACTTTTTTTCCACTTCGTCCAGCAGCTCGTCCAGGTCGTCCTCCATGTTCTGGTTTTCTATGCTACCTCTCCTGCTAGCTCCGGGGCTAATCCAGCGACCGCGGCTAGCACAGGAGCCGGAGCGTTCGCCGTTGCTAGGTAACAGGAGAGCAGAGCGGAAGTGGAGCGACACCGCCTTCAAAATAAATTAATTTTCTTCAGACTTGTTTATTTATTGCAAAATCATCTCTTTTACTTTTGGTACTTTGAGTATATTTTGATGCTTCTTCTACTTAAGTAAGCTGCAGGACTTTTACGCTGTGATATTACTACTGTTGCTTAAGTTAATGATCTGAGTACTTCTTCCCAAAATCTTATTTTGAAAATGTGTAAGGTAAGTACTGTTACCGCTAATCGCGTTGTGCCTCGTATTAACACAACGCGTGGTTCACCCAAATGTTAACACAATACCACTAACGTACATGCTTTAGTTAAGTAAAGAAGAAGGTTATGTAAAGCTTGTTAATACAGAGAGAAAATAAAGAGTCGTTGTCGGCAGGATTCGAACCTGCGCGGGGAGACCCCAATGGATTTCTAGTCCATCGCCTTAACCACTCGGCCACGACAACTGGATAACGTAATCACTGTCGAGAAAAAAAATTTAACCCTCTTTTTCGCCCTAGTTTTGGGGAGTTTGGGGTTTTTTGATGATATATAAATCCTAAAATGTGTCACCCAAACAGATTTTGCTTTGCTGCCTCAGGACAAACAGGCAATAAATACATTAGAAGAAGTTTTATTTCAATAAACATCAGCCACAATCAGTGGGTTAGATATTAGCTGCAGTGTGTGTTCCTGTTTCTGAATGCGTGTTCCTTGCATCTCCCTTTTCCTTTCATGCATGACCATGCAGACCGGAATGGGTGAAGTGGGTCCTCTTCTCCTCTTTTCCTCATACTACCCCAGCAATTGTGGAACTGGGATGACCTCTCTTACGCTCCAGATTCTTGCCAAAAGCTTTCTGCGATATACAACTTGAACGTATAAATCTTCATCTGTTCCTCTTTTCTCATCCCAGGGCTGCTGCAGTCTCTCCTGTGGTGCAGCGAGGCGGCCACGATGGTCATGTCGATAAAGTGGAACATCAGCCGATGGTACCACTTCTTCGACCTGATTTTGTTGCGGTACAGTGCAATGAGAGAGTCCAGCAGAGGACAGGGGACTTTGATGATTTTCCATCTTGCCATCCCACCTATCGACCTCAGTGCCTGGATGTGCTCCAATGTAATTACTGAGCAGACTGACTGAACAGTTATCATACCATTTTACAGCATGCGAGGTGGTTTCTCCAACCATGGCCGTCTTCTGTTCAAAAGATCCACGTCCAGTTCTCTTCAACTCAGCGTCACACATCAAGTTTAAACCTGGTAGTCTGTTGCTACGAACAGTACAGTGAATTCCCTGCTGAGCAAGTGTGAGTATGAGAGGGACACTCTGAACCAGTTGTCAAAGAACACCTTGTAGTTCTGCTGCGTGGGTATTGGCTGGGCCAGGTGAAGGACAACGTTGCCACTTGCTCCTACATCTGGAAGCTCAGGGAGTTGCACAACTCTCCCTGTGTAGCCAGCCAAGACATTTCTTTGGTTTTGCTGGCAGGTATTGCTTGAGTTAACCGCCCGATGTCCCTTACACCCATAAAATGTTGGTGCATCCATTTCCTGTGATTAATAGTAGATAGTAAAGCAAAACAAAAATGATTATGGTGATATCTCCATCCTTGAGCTTGTTATTGTTCAAACAAAAGTGGTCAAACTACACAATGTTGCCCTGAGGTAACGAATGAAAAACTACCATTTTAGTATTTAATAAAGTCAAAACGTGTCTTTGCTTACAAAGGTATATCAATTTACATGTTAAAAAGTGAAATTTATCTTACCTTCTGTTAAAGCAGAAGGACAGAGACAAAGGAGTACAACAACAACAGCAGCAACAACTATACTAATGGAAATGACTGATGATGATGATGATGATGAACATGAAGAAGATGATGACAACGACAATAGCAACAGCAATGGGGGACGATGGACAATAATAATAGTAATAATAGTAATAGTAGTTTCATAAATGAAAAAGGCAGTCCTAGAGGTCTGCTTTATGTGGGAGTTAAATGACAAATCCTGATCAAAGATAACTCCAAGATTCCTGACAGTGGTGCTAGAGGCCAATTTAATGCCATCTAGAGTAACTATATCTTTAGACAGTGAGTCTCTGAGGTTTTCATAAAGTAAAGGAGCATATATAAAGTAAATAGTATTGGTCCAAGTACAGAACCTTGTGGAACTCCATGACTAACTGTAGTATTTATTGAAGATTCATCGCTAACATGTATATACTGCGAGCGATCTGATAAATATGACTTAAACCAGCTTAGTGCGGTTCCTTTAATGCCAATTTGATGTTCGAGTCTCTGTAAAAGAATATTATGGTCAATGGTGTCAAATGCAGCACTAAGATCTAATAATACAAGTACAGAGACAAGTCCATTGTCAGAAGCAATCAAAAGGTCATTATTAACTTTAACCAGAGCTGTCTCTGTGCTGTGATGAACTCTAAATCCTGACTGGAAATCCTCAAATAAACTATTGTTATGTAGAAAGTCACACAACTCTTTGGCGACTACTTTCTCCAGAATCTTAGAGAGGAAGGGGAGGTTAGAAATCGGTCTATAGTTGGCTAAAACCCCTGGGTCATGAGTGGACTTTTTAAGTAGGGGTTTAATTACAGCTACTTTAAAGGACTGTGGTACATATCCTGATAATAAAGAAAGATTAATCATATCTAGTAAAGAAGTGCGAACTAAAAGTAAGACTTCTTTAAGCAGCCTAGTTAGGATAGGGTCTAAGAGACAGGTTGATGCCATCGATGAAGAACTTATTGAAGTTAATTGATGCAGATTGATAGTAGAAAAACAGTACATCTGAGTGTCAATTTGTTAAAATTCCTTTATTTGGAGAGACAGCGATACCTGTAATGTTATGATTAAAATTATTACTATTAGAAACAAAATCATGCACCAACTGCCGTTTGGTGCATGATTTTGTTTCTAATAGTAATAATTTTATCATAAAAGAACCAGCAGAGCAGTTGATCTGGTTCATTCAGGTCCTTCTGGATTCACAGCTGGTTGGCTCAGGATGAGATTCTGAAATTGAACTGTTTTGTCAGACATGCATGAAAATAAAATGAAAGTATTAAATTAAATGTATGAGAAAATTATTGCAGGTTTTAACCAAGGCTTCATTGTAATCCAAGTTCAGATTCACAGCGCTACTCCTCTTCCTGTAATGCAATGCAAACGGCTATACACCCTCCCTCTTCCTCCTTCTCTCTGCACACATATTTCCATGTTCCCTCCCCTTTAGATCTACAGTTTGAAGATGGGTGTAACCAACATGTGGTCACGTGAAAGAGCCCACAGGCCCCATTCACTGCAGAAACACATGCTGTTTAGATCAGAGCTCAAACTAGTTCCAGCTCTGAGGAATTGAAACTCAGACAGTCGCTGTAACTGAGAGGGGAAATGGCGCAGCAAGGAGTTCAGCTGGACCGAGAAAGATTCTGCTGTCCGATCTGTCTGGATCTACTGAAGGATCCGGTGGCTACTCCCTGTGGACACAGCTACTGCATGAACTGTATTAAAAGCTTCTGGGATGGAGAGGATGAGAAGAAAATCCACAGCTGCCCTCAGTGTAGGCAGACCTTCATACCGAGGCCTGTCCTGATGAAAAACACCTTGTTAGCAGATTTAGTGGAGGAACTGAAGAAGACTGGACTCCAAGCTGCTCCTGCTGATCACTGCTATGCTGGACCTGAAGATGTGGCCTGTGATTTCTGCACTGGGAGAAAACTGAAAGCCCTCAAGTCCTGCTGTGAGAAACACCTCCAGCCTCATTATGATGTGGCTCCATTAAAGAAACACAAGCTGGTGGACCCCTCCAAGAAGCTCCAGGAGAACATCTGCTCTCGTCATGATGAGGTGATGAAGATCTTCTGCCGCACTGATCAGCAGACCATCTGTATTTTGTGCTCCATGGATGAACATAAAGGCCATGACACAGTCTCAGCTGCAGCAGAAAGGACTGAGAGGCAGAGAGAGCTCAAGGTGAGTCGACAAAACATCCAGCAGAGAATCCAGGACAGAGAGAAAGATGTGAAGGAGCTTCAACGGGAGGTGGAGGCTATCAATCGCTCTGCTGATAAAGCAGTGGAGGACAGTGAGAAGATCTTCACTCAGCTGATCCGTCTCATGGAGAAAAGAAGCTCTGATGTGAAGCAGCAGGTCAGATCCCAGCAGGAAACTGAAGTGAGTCGAGTCAAAGAGCTTCAGGAGAAGCTGGAGCAGGAGATCACTGAACTGAAGAGGAAAGACGCTGAGATGAAGAAGCTGTCACACACAGAGGACCACAACCAGTTTCTACACAACTACCCCTCACTGTCAGCACTCAGTGAATCTACATCCAGCATCAATATCCGTGCTCTGAGGTACTTTGAGGATGTGACAGCGGCTGTGTCAGAGCTCAGAGATAAACTACAGGACGTTCTGAGGGACAAATGGACAAACGTCTCACTGACAGTGACTGAAGTGGATGTTTTACTGCCACAACCAGAGCCCAAGACCAGAGCTGGATTCTTACAATATTCATGTGAACTCACACTGGATCCAAACACAGCATACACAGAGCTGGTATTATCTGAGGGGAACAGAAAAGTAACAGCAACGAGTCAACAACAGTCTTATTCTAGTCACCCAGACAGATTTACTGACGAGGTTCACGTCCTGAGTAGAGAGAGTCTGACTGGACGTTGTTACTGGGAGGTGAAGTGGAAATGTTATGGAGTTGGTGTAGCAGTCGCATACAAGAATATTAGCAGATCACGGAGGTCAGCTGAAGCTTGTGTATTTGGAGGCAATGACAAATCTTGGATGTTACAATGTCACACAAACGGTTATAACTTTTTTTACAACAGAATCCACACTCCTGTCTCAGGTCCTCAGTCCTCCAGAGTTGGAGTGTACCTGGATCACAGTGCAGGTATTCTGTCCTTCTACAGCGTCTCTAAAACCATGACTCTCCTCCACAGAGTCCAGACCACAT